TAATGATCAGGATTAGTACCATGAGTCACAAAATTAAAAAAAAAAAAAATTAGTTGGAAATTTAGGTCACGTGTAATGCTGGTTAGCTCAAGAATTTTTTGTTTTTATTTAGTAGTGCGTTCCTAACTTTATAATGTTTTTTGGAATTGGCTTTTGTTAGCAAAGTTCAGGAGACATGGGGAGTGAGAATAATCTGAAGACATGGATATCTGATAAACTGATGTCAATACTGGGATTTTCTCAGCCTGCAGTTGTGCAGTACATTATTGCATTAGGTGAGTGACCTTGATAATTTTGTGTATATGAAAAAGATAAAAATTGCGATGTTTAGTAAGAGGACCATTTTCCTTGCAGCTAAGCAAGCAAGGTCACATGCTGATGTACTGGTTAAGTTAGAGGAATGTGGGTTGCCTTCATCAAGTGAAACTCGTACATTTGCTGAAGAAATCTATGTTAAAATTCCCCGTAAAGCATCTGGCCAAAATGTGAGAATAGAACTGGTGAAATGATTAGATATTTTTGGTTTTATTTTCTCACAGCTGCTGTTATTATTTTACCTGTCTAGATCAGATTTACCAAAAACAAGAAAGGGAAGCCGCTATGCTGGTCAGAAAGCAAAAAACTTATATGCTTCTAGACGCTGATGACGATGATGATGATGCTGGAGCCAACACTATTGTTGATAAGAATTCTTCTACCAAGTCTGCTTCTGTGACTAGAAAGGGAGATACTCATAAAAAACGATTCAGGAAGAAGATTGAAAGTGAAGAAGATCAAGATGATGAGGCATAGTATTTAAATCCTAGATTTTAGTTTTTGTTTCTTTTTTGTAAGCTGAGATTCACCGTTTCTTCTAATGAGATGTTCCTTTTGGTTTGATTGGGTGCAATACTGCAGGTGGCTGCACAAGTGGAAGATCAAAGACGAGTAAGAAGACGGACTTCTGGAGATGAGGACGATAGCTCAGAGGTTATTACCTTGAATTTTCTTATTATTTCTTTTACTTCCATTTAGGCAATTTTTTTCCTAAGTGTAAACATAACTATTAATTTGGCTGTATGGTGGGCTTTTTATTTTTTATTATTCAATTCCATTTATTAAATATGCAAAGAGTTAAATTAATATATTAAGGTCAATTTTATTAATCTTTTGTTCTACATGAAAGAGCATGAGCAAATTTTAGTCTTCGGCCAAGGTTTTACTTAAGATTTGATTTTTGATTATGCTTATAGGCCTTAATTTGTATTATTATTTATTTTTTCTGCTTCTTACACCTTTCAATTTTATTGTGGTTTCTATATTTTTTATGGCAGTCAGAGGAAGAGAGATTGCGTGACCAAAGAGAGAAGGAGGAATTGGAAAGACATATAAGAGAACGTGATGCTGCAGCTACTAGGAAGGTATTCTTTAATTTCTAGATTTTATGTCTTAATATATGCTGTCAACATGAGGTGTGGTGCTTGGATTCTTCTTTTGTCCTGGAAAGTGTCAATCTTTAAGCCATCTGCATATATTCTTGATTCATTCAAGAGTCAATTGTGTGGTGGCTGCTGGACCTCCTAAATCCTGACTTGAAATATGTTGGGCTTAAATATGGATCTTTCTTGGATTATGATTGCATGATGTTTTTGAGAAAATTGAGGTGTATACATGTCTCAAAATTGGACTATGGCTTTTCTAAAATCAGCAGATCAGCATGGGAGTTAATATTAATAAAATAATATAAGATTGTCTCCTGACTAACAATGATACAATCAAAATTACTCCTCTTTTTTTCTTTTTCTTTTTCTTTTTCTTTTTTTTTTTGGGTGTGTGTTTCTGTACTGATGTTCTCTTTTTTTTTTTTTTTTCTCCACATTTGTTGTAACCAGTTAATGGAGCCAACATTAACCCGAAAGGAAGAAGGTATTAACATTTTAACTTTGACAGTTAGGAATTACTTTCAATGTGCATGAGATATGAGTTTTTGTTCTTGATATTTGTTTATTCTTTTTAAAACAGAAGAGGCAATTCGGAGATCAAATGCCCAGGAACAGAATGATATTAACGATTTAAGGTTTGTCTACAGACTTTCTGATTCATTCACCTGTGATTATGGTTACTTATTCATTATAACTTTCTATGTCAAGATGATCACCCTGAAGCAGTAGAAATGCATCTTTTTTGTATGATCAGTTTACTGCATTCGTCTAGCCTCTTGACCACTCTTTGTACTGCAAGCTCATCACTTGGTCTAGTGCTGATGATTCCAGCCACTAATTTATCAACCTTTTCATCTTCAAACTCTAGCATATTTAATCACATACTGATAGGTGATATTAATCATGTTTTAATTGGTTTTGTTTCAGAAAGGTTTCAAGATACGAATACTTAAAGAAAAGGGAGCAAAAGAAGCTGGAGGAACTCAGGTACGATAAAACTTAAGTTGAGTTTTTTTTTTATCTTCTCTTGTTTAGGTCTGGGAGGATGATTATAAATAGCCATCTTGCAACTATTTGAAATAATTTTCTTCACCTGGGTAATTCTCATTTGCACCACGTTTATATCAGGGATGATATAGAAGATGAGCAATACCTTTTTGAAGGCACGAAACTTACAGAAGTGGAAGAGCGTGAGCTAAGGTGATTGATTTGTTTCATTGCCTAAGTATTTTGATTTAATGAGGTCTTTTTATTCATTCTTTAATAAAATAGTGGAAAAATGTTATAACTTTTAACTGTTATATTATTAACTTTTCAAGTTCTTTGTTTTCTAAATGTGAATATTAGTTCTGGGTTACTTTGTCATTGATTATTAATAAGTATTGTGGAATTTCCTGCAGATACAAGAAGGAAATATATGAACTTGTGAAGAAGCGATCAGAAGAAGACGATAATTTGAATGAGGTAATAAAGAAATAATCAAGTTTTTCGTTCCTGTGAATATAAAATTGGTTAAAGTTAGTTTGTTAGCTGACTTGCCTCAGTAATTAAAATCTATGCCCCTTCAACACACAGCCTGTAAGAGGAAAGGCAAAGCTAATACCTAAACGTAAATCTTTTGTCTTCTTTCTCTTTACTTGTCTGCTTTCTTTAACTAATTTGATGTACTCTCCCCCACACTCCTGTATTACAGTATAGGATGCCAGAAGCTTATGATAAGGAAGGAGGTGTTGATCAAGAGAAGAGATTTGCTGTGGCTTTGCAGCGTTACAGGTTAGGTCAAAAGAAAGTTTGTACTCAATCTGTTGGAAATGAAATATACCACTGATCAACAACAATAAAGTTTGTTTGTATTAGTTGCTCATGGTGTACATTTCCTTGGAATTTTGATCAGGCATAACTAACAATATAGAATTCTTTTCCTTGAAAAGTTTCTTGTTGCATAACAATCTTTTTTGAGCCAACAGCATAACAAATTGACTTGGCTGGAGCTGTGTAATTTATCTATCAACTAACAGACTTTCTGCTCAATGTTCCTTTCAGGGATCCAAGTGCTGGAGATAAAATGAATCCTTTTGCTGAACAAGAGGCCTGGGAGGAGCATCAAATTGGTAAGATTTCTTTGAATTCTTCTGGGCATCTTTTGAGAAAATCTTTTAGTTGGCTTTACAGTGTACCGTGCTTCTAAATTTTCATATTGCAGGCAAGGCAACTTTGAAATTTGGCTCAAAAAATAAAAAGCAAGCATCTGATGATTATCAGTAAGTTTAGATATCATATGTTCATAAACTAACTAGATGTAGTAATCCTTGTATATTCTACTCTGGGCTTCTTTCTTTTCTTTTTTCTTTTCTTTATTTAACTGATATCTTCTTATTTTCTTTTTGTTTAGGTATGTATTTGATGATCAGATTGAGTTTGTTAAGCAGTCAGTGATGGCTGGTGATAATGTATGTTCCCTATGCCCATTAATTTCAACTGGAACTTATCTAGTTTTTACAGGCAACAATTTCTTCTGATTGTTTCTTTCATGTTTCCAGTTTGGTGATGAGATGTCAATGGAGTCACCTGAAAAGTCCATGGCAAAGTCAGCCTTTGAGAAACTACAGGTGTGCATTTTTCCACTATGGTCTCAAAAATAAATTCTGATTGTAGAATTGTCACATGCTTGGGAAAATGTGTAATATTGAGTCAAGACCTCAACACTTTGATTGAGGTGAGTGACAATGAAGGGGGAAAAAATTTTCTTTTATGTGAATTTTGTGAGGGAAGGGAGGGAAAGGAATGGGTGCTTGGTACACTTCTTTCTACTTTTAAACTTATGGTTTTCACTATT